ATGAACGTGTTTTCTACCATTTTTATTTGTTTTATCACGCTAAAAATCAAGACAATACGCATTTATAAACTAAAACAAATCAAGACTCAAACAACCCATTTTTATCTTTATATTTTTTTATAATTTAAAAAGCAAGTTAAATATAAATTCGCCAAGATCTTCACCATAAAATCTTCTTACTTGTTCCTTGGAAATGGCGAGAAAGGCATAAATTACTCCAATGTGCATGTTGTGTTCCAGTACTCCAGGTGTCTTCTGCGTATTGGCTTTGGCCAGCCCAAAAACCATTTCGTTTGAACCGTATTAGCCGTATTAGCCCTACTTGTTTGAGCTTCGTAGAACGCCACTTTTGCTTCTGCCCGCAGTGTGGACAATTAATGAAGAAAAACTATCGTCGTTTGTAATTTAGCTTTAAGAACGAAAAAGCAATGACTTAAACACTAGACAATTTGAAGATTATACAGTCTTCAGCTGAATATCAAGTCATAAAACRTGAATCAAGCTCCACTTGTTGTTGAACAGATACGAATTCGAAAATGCGAACATGTCAAATTATACGAAGGAAAAGCATGTACAATAAAATATTGTTTCAGTTTTTGCAAGCGTGCTTTAAAATATTTTAAAATGCGCGCCCTTGAGTAGCACACGTGCACTAGTTCACCCGTCACGGCTCGCCTATTTCTTTGACTAATTAGACTTAAGCAACCAATAGCACAAAGTTAGTAATTAGTTAGCTAGCTATCTATTTCACGGGTATATTATTTGCACTCTACCTAAAAATAAATTTGGATAGAACATTCACAAAAACTACTTATTTTACACAACACATTTTTGTGGCAAAGAAAATAGACCTCTTTAGCTTTGGTGTTTGTTTTGCCCATTTCAGACCACATGTCATTCCTTTGAGAATAGGATTCTTTGTTTCATTTTTATCCAAACGAAAAAATGATACTCGAGGGAATAACACGTGGTCTGAAAKGGGCAAACATTAATTACGCGGAAGCTGAAGAGGTCTATAGGAGGCCCTTTTCTATAGAAAGAGGAGAAAACTTTTTGGGAAGGTTTTCTAATCAAAAAAAACACAATGTCTTCAAAATATTACCTGTTATGAATATGATATTAAGAGAAATGTACCAATGCGGCTTTGCAATATGTTCTCTCTGGCTGCAGGGATACAGCGTAAGATATAGGAATGATACAGAACAAAGAGAACAAAGACGGGATACAGTGCAAACCATACCAAGTGTTCCATCTAAAATAGATAAATCTGAATTGGAAAACGTGATGGCCAATGCGCCAGGAATGAATAATGAAATAAATAAAAGATCTATGTTTACTTCAACAAATAAATTCTAATCTTCGTAGCATACACTGTAACGCATTCTTGTACGTACCCAGAGCCTTCTTAATTGAGAAGGCTCTGGGTACGAGAATGACACTGTAACGACGATGGCAGTGAGCATGAGTAGTCATTGCGCATGCGTTTAACCCTGTTAATATTGGTCATTTTTTGCTCACTTTGTTGCGCAGTTAACATCCCATATGGAAAGGCGCTTTTGATGGATATTAATGCACACGTTTGTAAGTTCTTTTCTGTTACTTCCTAAGGAAAGAGATTGAAAGGAAGTAAATCTGTATAATATGCATGCAAGTTTGTTTGCATTCTTGTGAGTGTACTTCTTTGATATGACACCTCACCTTAAAGCGAGAATACAACTTGGTAAATAATGGTTTCAATAAGTCAAAATCAATATATGTTTATAGTAATCACAAATATTTCGATACGTGCATTTACAACTTGAAAATAACACATTGTCTAACATGAGTCCTGTCCAGTTTCATTAAAAAAGAGCAGTGTTTTGGACGATATAATATTTAGGAAACTCTACTGTGAAGTGTTCAAATAATTCTTTGTAATTGCGCAACGTCGTTCTTCTATGGATGCGCGCTGTCGAATGGAGTTATTGATGTTAAATATTGYCCGTCACTTTACTTGTAGCTATTAATACGCAGTTTCTTGTTCTTGGATAATGTCTTTGCTATGAAATGATGTCAAACTAGATATTCGTATAGTCCATGTACAAATTCGTATGATTTCCTGCGAAGTGCATTCTTATTTGCTGTTTAAGATGATAATTGAGATAAACTGATGATATGCTTCCTAATGCATGGGAATTAGGAACTGCAGAATATGTAATCGTTTGACACAGGCTGACCAGTAGTTATAGATCACGCGTCTTTTCTCCAAAATAAGATTTGCAGTGAAATCAAAGCCTGTAGGGGTTTATCGACGTCCTTTGTGTTTCGTGTCCAAGAGGTCATATAGAGCTCCATTTGAAAATTTGCCGAGAAATGGTTACTAAAAAGAATGTTCATCATATATTTGACACATGCGCAGTTTAGGCCGGACAAGTACATCCCACAAGTGTTAATTTGTCCTGAAACATTACCTTGTTGCTTGAAGCAAGTTTTTTATTTCAAGGTCTATCATAATCGAAGTCTTGATTTGGATAGTCAAACAGGAGATGAATTTTGAACGGTCTCTGTCTCTGTAGTTTGAAGGGAGAGGGCTAGTGAAGCGAAATACTGTATGCGCATGTGTGTAGCTATGTTAAATGTTAAAAAAAGGCGTAATCCTGTAGATCTTTCAAGGTTTTAGATGCAATCGATCATACACAGTGCTGATAATAAAATCTCAAATGAAAAAGGCGCTTTTGATATATATTAATACACGCGTTTGTGAGGTTTAGGTAATATTACGATATGAAAGTTTGTCAAACCATGGCATTTGCATGGTGCGCTTACACCCATGACTGAACCTATTCACTTATTGAGGTACTTTTATTACAAACCCTGTAGGACTAAAATCGCTGTCCAAAAATCCAAGATTCTTGTTATGATCTGCATTTTTGCGTATTTGAGTGAGTGCCATCCTGTCCAGTATTTATTAAATAGAGCAGTTCTTCGTACGATATAATGTTAGGAAACTGTACTGTGAAATATGTTCACATCATTCGATGCAGTTGCGCACCATCGTCCTTTCATAGATGCGCGCTGTTGAATGGAGTTATTGCTGTTAAATATTCTACTTCTCTTTACTAGCATTCCAGTGATATTAGAGTATTAAAATGCGCGCTGCTTAACAGTATGGGATACAGAAGACCGCGCGYCCCACATTGAACAGCTTAGAAGTAGTCAATATTATAGTTGTCGTTCTAATTCCCATGGGATTTGAAATATTTAAAAAAAAACAGTTTGGACGTTTCACGTTTTCAAATTTCAAATGAGCATCAATTGCGCTCGAGCACGAGTAAAGAAAGGCAAAGTAAAAGTGGATCCCACATGAGCTGTTAGGTTGGTATTATACTGGTAGTTGAATCGGAAGCTTTCAGGGAGGTAGGAGGGGATGCGGAGGATCCTATATGGGTTTTCCGCTTCTCCAGAATACGAATGGAAGAATCTTGCTTGGTCCTCAAAATGTGCTTGCATTACATGTCCGGTCCAGAAAGTGAGCGGAGAGTGTCCGTGTGCTAAAGGCGGGTTTTGTACAATTTTGTAAAGGCTTGTACATGCGTAAAATGCGGTTTTATACAATTGTTRTACATCCCACATGGACAGTTGTGATTAAAAGATAGAGAAGATTGCATGGGGAGGAGGAGGGGGTAGATGGAGGACGAAATTATGAAACGAAACTTCGACTTCCAAACATATACATTCCATGAAAAACACTTAGTATATATCCAAGATTCTTAATTAGTCTCTTAAAGGGTCGGATCAAAGGTACCCCCTTTGAAAGAATAAAAAATAAAAAATGTTTTGTTAAAAAAAATAAAGAGTTAAAAAT